GCAAGTCACGCAGCATCACATTTGGAGGGGAGCACTCGAGGAGGTCCTTCGTGATTTGGAGCGAGAAATTGATACTTTAGGCTCCCGTTCTGAGCCTTTTCAAATGGGGAAGCAGATAATATCGAGTTGCATGAAGTTCTTTCGTGACGTCGACACGATTTCAAGCTCCGATTCTCCTTCTTGGATGAAGCCGCCGCCTCTAAATAGGGTCGAGAAGCCAGTTGCTCCAAGAACATGGGAAGAAGTTGTCGAGATGTTTGTAGACCTCACAAAGTGTTTGGAAAGAGAGGAGAAGCTGGCAACTCGTGTATTAAAGCTTGAAGCTATGAAAGAAGGGCTATATCAGATACGAGACATTACAATTGAGCGTGATGTAAGTTACAAAGAGGTTAGAAGGCAGGATTGCTTAGTTCAGAGGAAGCTCTCAAAGAGCCTGGGGCACTCTTCAAGGTGTTTGTTCACATTACTGCTTTATTATCTCCATGGAAGTGTTGAGGATGTTGTGTTTGAGGTTCATGGAGGTGTTCGAGTTGATGACCACGGTCGATTTTGCTTGTATATTGGAAAGATTTTGAGTTGTCGTGATGAAGGAATGGTGATGAATGGAGTAAAGCAGTTGAGTAAGGCTCTTGGGGTGTTCAAGTTCGTGTGGGAGAGTGCAGGAATGGTTGGGGTTTTGAAGCTGCGGGGTCATTTGTGGTGTGTTGGGGGTGAGGAGAGGATAATTGCTTATAGAGGGAATGAGTTCTATGTTCATGGCATTAGGCTTTGAATAAACGGTAAATTACAGATAACCCCCTTGTCTATATGTTCAATTTCACTTACCACGCATCGGCTATTTTACTAGCGCTCAGCATCCCTCAATTCATAAGGAAGAAGGGGGTAATCTGCAATTTGTTCTTCTCAAAATGCAAATTTTGAGGTGGTACGTGCTAGTAAAATAGTTAAGGGGCGATAACTGCTAGTGAATGTATAAATGAGGGCGGTTATCAGCAATTTACCCTTGAATGGATTCTAATTTTTGGGGTTTGTTGTGATTCTACAAGCATAATAGAGCTTCTTACCTCATTTTGGAGTTTTGTTCTTCATTCAGTTTACTGCATTACGAGTTGGGAGGTGAAAAATTGTGTTGAAGGAAATGAATTATAACTTGTGGAACATGGATTATTATAGAGATTAGGATTTCATTTACTGGGAAATCATTGGTGCGTTTCTTGTCTTTCAGTTTCTTTGATTCATGTATTGAGTGGAGCTGGCACGATTCTTAATTAGTTTATGAAATCAGGAGACAAACTTTTGTTACTTACAACATTTTATTTTATATGTTCAAATGAATCTACTGAAAGATGTACCTTAAAATTTCAGAATCAGGAGACAACTTCAACTATAGCAGTACTAACGATTTTGGTCTATAGCAGTTCTATGATTTTGGTTTATGCTTCTTATGAAGCAACACTCAACACTAATTTGAAACGGATACGAATTCTCTCTACTACCAAACAATTAGCGGAGGGACAACTACTAAATTACAACTATTTGTTATCTACCGAGTGGTTATGATTTTTCTTTTTGAGTCATAATACACTGGACGTGATGACTGTTAGATTCATAATGTATCACAATCATCCACGAGATGATCAATAGTTAAAATTAAAAATAATGATTTCTCCACTATTTTTTTTGTAATCGAAGAGCCAAATTCATTTGAAACTAACAGATTGCTCATTTGAAACTAACAGATTGCAAGGCAACATTGTTGCCTCTAAAACGCTCTGAAGCTTCAAAACAGTGTAGAAAATAGCGCGTTTCGTAGCGCAAAATAGCGCTTAACGTAACGTAGCGTTAACCTAACGCTACATAGCGTTTTCAAATAGCGCACGGACAAAATAACGTGCGCTATTTTAGCCATAGCGTAAGCTACGTAACGTAGCGTCGTGGCGTTTTGTAACGTAGGTTATTTTGTTTAATAGCTTGGATTGCTTTTAAAATAATTCAACGGCTGTGATTGACTCTCCCACTTCTCATAAGTTATTAAATTCTAACAAAACCCTAACTCTTGCTGTCATCGTCGTCTCCGCCGCCCCTTTCGACATCGTTGTCCTCTCCCGCCATTCAACTTCTGAAATTAGCAAGGTAAATACATAATACAATCTTGAATACTGATAATCAGACTATGTTTCACACTTAAAGCCATAAAAATTAATATGTGTGGAAGGGTGAGCTTGACTTGTTCCCTGAAGTTGCCATTGTTTTACTCTTTAACATGATTAGCGTGAGAAATTTGATCTATTTGGCTGGAACACACGATGTTAGGTTTCAGTTAGTTATTGATCTATCGTCGAATTTCGCCTTTGGATTGATCGTTAAGGCAAACACGGTTGATTTTGTTGTGAAATTGTGATCATATATTGATTTGTGAAATTAAGAATTGCGATGATTATTCATATTTTTTATTTTGAATGTTATATATCTATAAATTATTTAAATAATAATAAATTATTTAACCTACGTTACGCTATGTGTTATCGCTATTGTCACCTAACCGGAGGTAAGCGTTACGCTATGCGTTATCGTTATTTTCAACATTGCTTCAAAATAACAGTAAAATATTCACAGTAGGCAAGAAATAACGGTACTGGTGAAATCGAGTACAAATTGTGACACATCGAAGCTTCAAAATCAAATTACAAAGAACAAGGTTCTTGCTCTCAATGACAAATCTTCTAGTTATCAACAATGGCCAGAAAGTCAGAATTTAACAAGCTTTAAAGCTACACTAAGTTGTCTATTGATTTCACAATAGAAATACAACAATGCGAAGAAACAAAAAAAATTCAACTTTTACATATAGATAGATAACTTGAAGTTTGAACAGTAGAAAGCTATATGAAACCGAATTAAGTTTTCTCATGGATTATCATCCTAAATTTTACATAGTTCACTTCAGTTTTGACTTCACGGAGCTCTGCAATGGCTTAGCAACAGGCCGAGCTTGACTACCCTTTACTGCTTTCTTAAGGTTATACCTCACGGAAAACACAGCGCTTATTATAGCGAGAACCATTGCAGGAGAGACATAAACAGCCGTTGCTGGATTAGTATTAGCTGGTTTTCCAAGAAATCCCTCTTTCACGAGACCCCAAACTATAAGAAGAGTCCCAAACATGCTCATTCTCCCTGGGTTTATGACCCCGATGAGGGCTCCAGCGACAGCAAAATAGCTTCCACAAAGTACCTACGGTGATATAAATATCAACTGTGTGCTAGAATATAACTCTGCGTTAGAATATAAAATCATAACGCTATAAGTTCCATCATAATTTTGGAGTTTTAATGCAGTCGATTTTTTATTTTTTATTTTCTACCATGATATCAGAACAATTTTTTTTTAACATGGTATCAGAGCAACCCATGTTTCAATGTCATTGGATGTGCATTTAAAGTGGATTTATTAATTAAAAAAGAGGTTAATCGCAGATAGACATCCTGTAGTTCTATTGTTGCGGATAGACCCCCTTGTACAATCTCCCATGTGTAGTAGACCCCCTAACGGAATTTTTTTTCCACTCTTTTACCCTCGAGAGGTCTATCTCTCAAAAAAGACAAATTTCTTTTTCTCTGCAATAAAAGAGTCGGAAAATTCACTCAGGGTCTCTGCAACAATAGAAATATAGGGAAACACCCACAATTGGGCGCTAGCACAGGGGATCTATCCGCTATTAACCCTAAAAAATTAATATCGCTGCATGAGTCAGGTTTCAGCCCATGCAATGGGGCTCAACCCTCAGCTATCACCACAATGTCCATGTTTTGATGCAGTGGAAGAATTGTAGAAAGAAGCGAGTTTTCAACAGGTATTGAGGAGCAAAACCTCTAAGCGTTGGAGATCCACAACAGCAGATGCATTTTTAACTTCCGTTAGATTGTACATGTGAAGTATGTTGTTCCATTTTGGAAGGGTCATGTTTGAGACGAGACTGTTTACTGCTGCTCCAGGGTAAAGGAGGGCTTTCACAACAGCCGATGGGAATATTTCATTTGCGGTTAACTGGCAAGATGTTATCTGTATCGGTGTAGTGCACATCCCTGATCTACATTGGACCCTGGTGTATCGAGGAACAAACAATCAGCGGAAACTAAATGAGTATAATGCATAAATGAATTATTTTTTTTATAAAATGAAATAATAAAAGCACCATAACATAGTCCATTAGATACTCTAAGATGCTGATGAAGAATTATATATGGGTTGGATGCGGATAAGGTATCTTGACCACATTTAAGAAAAACATTATGAGTTTAGACAGTTCATGTTTCAAGATCTTTTACATCGTCATATTGACGCCTGAGATTTCATGACAATTAACTGACACACTAAAACATCAGTGCTAAAAGTATTACGGCTCATCGGAATATTTCTGCTTGTATCTCACATGCATCTAAACAATTTATCATCAAGTTAGAGACTTTCCCAATAAATAAATAAATAATACATAATTCTTTAATAGTAGTGGCAGCTATTCATCAGCACTCGTCACCATCATGATCCAAATTTCTTCATATCACACCTTAGTTTATGTGCAGAACAACTCAAAGCAAAGAATTTGACAAAAAGAAAAGCAAAATGTTAGGAGTGACTGTCAATCTAATATACCTCATTGATCACATTCCAGTCCGGGCTATAAGAAACCCAACATATCATAAAACCTAAAGAATAAGTTAGCAGGTGTCCAATGGTGTCACAGGACACCACTAGATTGCCTATTTTATATACATTTTTACTTATTTTAACACATATTTACTACTTGTGACATCACTAAGACTAGGACAGGACACCACTAAGGAGGATAACCCTAGGGTTTGCCTACTTCAATAAACTCATAAGTTATATAGTGACACCACTGGGACAAAATCCTGGCTTCGCCACTGTTAGCAGGTATGTAGGTAAACCATTTTGACCATATAAGTTAAGATCATGCAAACAAGAAACAAAACGTCCTTAGTCCCTAAAGCCTAGAAACACTCATCTGAGGCACAACACTAGCCATCGAGCCAAAACAAAGGCACGTCCTGTTTGATAGGCTATTCACTGTGTACAGTTGTACACAAAGTTTTTCCATTTTCAGTAATATTAGTATATTTATATTACCATTAAATTTCTAGCAGGCAGCTTAACTATTGATTCCAAGCTTCGAACAAATTTATGGAACCTTAATTTGCTCATACAATTTTGACACCACAATTAATGCTATATGTTCTATGTAAAAACTACATGAGTACTTATCAGACTACCAATAGCATAGGAAAACTCTTCACCAACAAAAGTTAGCCTCTAACAGCAATTTTCTTGTACAAAGCCAATAAAGAATCAAAGTTGTCTTTTCCTGGACCATTTAGTCAAGGATTTTCTCATCATAAACTTTCTACAAAGTTACAAATATCTTTGATTTTGTACCTCCAAATCATAAACACATGAATTCAATTAACAGGAATATTACAGTGGATCATTTGGGTTTACTCTTCATTTATAGGACTTATGGAAAGTATCTTTCAACGCCTTATGTAGTGAGCTGTGGCTCACACTGGCGATTGAACTAAATTTTTAGGTAGGTTCTTCTTTAAGCAAAGAACAGAATACTTCTGTTAACATACTGCTACGTACGATTTATTATTTTTCTCGGGCTTAATTGCACACATATACCTATAGTTTCCCCTACTTTGCACTTGTGTACCCTCACTTGTTTTTGGCAGCACTTACATACCGTGAAGTTTTTTAAAACTTGCACTTATATATACCCTCACCTGTCAGCACTTATGTACCTTAAAGTTTTTATAATTGGCACTTATATACCCTAATGTTTTTTTGAAACTTGCACTTAAACACCCTCAGTTATGCAAACTTAAGGATATTTAAGTGCCAGTTTTTAAAAACTTTAGGGTATCTAAGTGCAAGTTCTAAAAACTTTAGAGTATACACAAAAAACAAGTGAGGATATATAAGTGCAACATAGGGGAAACTATAGGGCATTTAAGTGAAATTATGCTTTTTCTCTTGCACACCCAGACAATTTGTGTGCAAATGATTTGAATAAATTCCAATAATAAGATCTGCTGCATTTACAATTTTGATTGCGAACAGGAGTTATTAGTTCCCAACTAGATCCTCCAGTGTAGGATAATGTTTCTAATCTAAAAAAAATTGAACGATACACACAATTTCTACTGCTGTGCTAGCTAAGATTGGACACAATCAGAGTTACTTGAGGAACTAACACTAAAATCAAGATGAAGGGCACTGATAATCAAAACCCATGTTTAGTTATCCCTAAAAATCGCAATAATTAACAAAAGAAACGGATTTTGATTCGACAACTGAAGTTTAAGATGGAAGGTCGGTTACCTAAAGAGAGGAAGTTGGAAGATGATGAGAACGAAGAAGATGCGGGCAGCGATGTAAGAGATCCTGGCGCTTGTCCATCCTCTTGAAGGAGAAGCCATTAGAATTTCTCTGCTTTCTCCCTCCTTCGATCTGTCGACGATGAAGACGACCTAATCACTGCAAGTCTTTTCAGCTTTGTTCTGTGACCATAATACCCTTCTTGCAAATCTATAATCTCCGTTGGACCCTTTTGGGCGCAAGCCCATTGACTGCTCTCGACTGTCCGCGCCCATTTGGTAATGGGCCTAGCTCGTCATTTAATACTACAAAAAATAAAAATAAGAATTTTCCATTTCTTAGTGTGGATTAGTTATCTTATCCGAATTTTATTTTATGAAATTTTAAGAAGGGTAAAAAATGCAGTCCATATGTAGATGTCTATATTGGCTAATGCAGATAAATACAAATTCTATTACAACAATTCGCATGTAAGCGGGATGTTTCTATCCATACAAAAATAATGAAAAAGCCTAAATTGCTCTTGTTTTTCTCTAATAGCTCCAATGAATGCAAATTATTGTTATATAATTTTCCTACATAGATATTCATATTGAAATTATCAAAAAAAAACTATTCCGTTAGGAGCTATCTTGCATATTTAATTACCGAAAAAGTCTAAGTTGGAGTTCATAAATTCTAAGGTTCTGTAATAAAAAGCCATAGCCTATTTAGACTACTTCTATATTATAAGAGAGAGGACATATGATCTAATATCTTCAACATTTTTTTAAATTTGATTACTCGAAGCTCACAAAATAGGCTTTTTTTTCTTAATATAGGAGGAAAACCATGACAAGACACAATGATCCCCGTGCCGAAGTTAGATCTCCCGAGTCTTTATATACCCTCCATTCTCAGATTTGATTTGAACCTGGGACCAAAAAGTATTGATAATACTACTGTTGTGTTTCCAAACCACCGCTACGTTTCTAGATCCAACTGTACACGGTGGGTGAGCGTAGGTGTCGTTGTTCTACAAACAGACCCGACCTTAAACGTGGCCCTTCTTGTATTTGATTCTCATCCGTACGTAGTACCCTTTCACCTCCTCCAAAAACCAAATCTCAAATCCCAACTTGCTTGCTACCCTCCAAAACTCATGATTGCCCCAGAACGCTAAAAGTTTTCATAACACCCCATCCCCCAACAACCCCTCACCCCACACACACACACACACAAAAAAAAACCCAAAGCTTGAATGATTATTGGATATTAACTTTAAAAATATCTGAAAACTTTAGGGGTTACGAGAAAACCACCCCTAAATTTGAGATTTTATCGGAAAATCCCCTAAAGTAGGGGAATTTTCTAATCAAATCTCAAATTTAAAGAGTTTTCTGATGAAATCTTAAAGCTAAAATGATTTTTTTATATAATCCTGACGCTTAAGTGGTTTTTTTTTTTTTTTTTGAAGTTTAGGGGGTTTTCAGTACTTGTCCAAAGATAAGGGGGTTTGCTGATATTTAGCCATAAAAAATGACTAACCCGCCCACCCCCACCTCACGTGTCCTCACATGCCCACACCCCAATCATTCCATCCCTTCACCTCCTCCTCCTCCTCCTCCTCCTCATCAGCTCAAAACAACCAACGCCACACTCGCACGGCACCACCACCAACCCAGCAGAAAACCAAGTTCGATCAATGTGTACTCCAATGTTTCACTCTTTTTCACTTTGATATTCAAAAGTCCTATTTTGACAATTTGATACATTCAAACTATTAGAAAGTTGTCTTTATTGCTAGAGATATAGCTCATTTAGTGTACTCATTCCGTAAGACTTCTGAATAGCTCCTTTGTGCATTGATGTTTATGAATTAATTCACTCCAACACTATAAATTGGTCCTCAGTACCTTGGACTTTCATTCACTTGTATGATATTGTTGTTCCATTAACATATTCGTATGTAGTCGTTGTTGCCTTTCACTCAAGAAAAACTCTCGCAGTAGCAAGAACACACACAAGGGACACTTGAGTTGGGCTGTCAAAATGATACAGCTTCCTCTGTCTTCTTCACATCTATTTATTTGCAAAAGTAAAACTGAAAAACAAAACAACTTCCACAAGCTACGCCACTACCCCCATGAGAACCTCTAACAGATTCCACTACCCCATGAGACCTATTCTTAAGGCACGCAATTTAAACATGGGTTTAAAACTAACAAGGACCCAGTCTTTTAGGCATGCTTATTTGAACTACCCACTAGATTATCTAACAATCTCCCCCTTAATCTAGTTGGTGTGGACGTTTACGATACCGATCTTAGAGCGTAGATCCTGGAACTTGATCCAGCCGAGGGACTTCGTCAACATGTCCGCCAGCTGGTCATCAGTATGGATGTATTCGACGGCGACTCTGCCGTCTTTGACGCACTCCCTGATAAAATGGTAGCGGGTCTCGATATGTTTGCTGCGGTCATGGAAGACTGGATTTTTGCAGAGTTGTATCGCAGACTTGTTGTCCACGCGCAGATCGACGATGCCAGCCTCCTTCCCGAATAAGTTTCCAAGCAAACGTCCAAGCCAAATACCATGGCAAGCAGCAGTGGTGGCGGCGATGTATTCCGCCTCACATGATGACAAAGCGACTACCTTCTGCTTCAATGATTGCCAACTCACTGGACTTTGCCCGAGGAAGAAAAACACACCGGTTGTGCTTTTCCTGTCATCAACATCGCCGCCCATATCGGCATCGCTGTAGCCAACTAGCTTCGGCTCTCCGGTGCTCTTGATGTATCGGCAACCATAAGTCAAGGTCCCGGCGATGTAGCGCAGCAAGTGCTTCACAGCACTCATGTGTTCTGTTGTGGGTGCTTCCAAGAAACGACTAACATACCCTACGGCGAATGCGATGTCCGGCCGCGTATGTACGAGGTACCGCAAGCTTCCGACGATGCTCCGGTACAAAGTGGCGTCGACGGTCGGGTTCGAGCTTCCTTTGCTCAATTTCAAACGCGCCTCCATCGGCACATGGACAGGGTTACACCCTGTCATGCCGGCCTTGTCAAGCAATTTGGTCGCATACGCCGCTTGGCAGAGTGTGATCTCCCCGGCGGCTTGCTTCACTTCGATTCCGAGGTAGTAGCTGAGCAATCCAAGGTCGCTCATCTCAAATTTAGATTTCATCTCCTCCTTGAAGCGTCCAATTTCCCCGGCGTGAGCTCCGGTGACTATGAGATCGTCAACGTATACTCCAAGTAGTAGTCGACCATCCCCGGCTCCGCGCGTGTACACCGCATGCTCGGAAGCGTGCTGTTGAAACCCAAGTGACAACAGTGTGTCATCGAGCTTGGCGTTCCAAGCGCGTGGAGCTTGACGCAGCCCGTACAGTGCCTTGTGAAGGCGCATCACCTTGTGCTCTTCTCCGTTGCGGGCGAAACCTGGAGGCTGCGATACGTACACTTCTTCATTGAGGTCGCCGTTCAGAAAAGCCGACTTCACGTCGAGATGGTGCACCTGCCAACCCGTATTCGCCGCCACAGCAAGTATAACCCGTACTGAGTCTAGGCGTGCCACCGGCGCAAAAACTTCATCAAAGTCGATGCCGGCGCGTTGGACATAGCCCTTTGCTACGAGCCGAGCCTTGTGCTTGACCACCTCCCCGGAGCTATTTCTTTTCAACTTGAATACCCACTTCAATCCAATTGGGCGCTTTCCTGCAGGTAGATTGGTTAGCGACCAAGTTTGGTTCTCATGAATTGATGCCAACTCTTCCAACATAGCCTTCCGCCAGCATGGGTGACGTTCGGCATCGGTGAACGAAGTCGGCTCCTCCCCTTCCGCAAGGAACAAAGCGTCAGCATCTCCCTCGACCTCCTCGGTGTCGGCATAGATGCTGTCCAAGGTGCGGTACCGCCGTGGCGCTTCTCCTCCCATCAAATCAGCATCCGGCGTTGTGTTTGTCGGTGGGGAGACAAAAGCTGGTGTTCTATGAGCAGGGGTCACATGAGTTGGTGTCCTCTGCTCCTGTGCATTTGGTGTAGTTGTTCCATGCGTTGCATCTCCCCCATGCCTTGGTTCCCCATGCGTTGGTTCCTGTTGCGTTGGTTCCCCATGCGTTGGTTCCTGTTGCATCTCCCCCGAGCGCCGGTGCACTTTGGCTGCAGGAGCTATCTCCGATGTTGTGTACTCGATCTCGAACGACTCTTGCGCCGAAGAATCATCTCCCCAGTCCCAGCTTGCTGCCTCGTCGAAGACAGCGTCCCTCGTGATGTGGACGCGTCTTGCCACCGGATCGTACACCCGATATGCCTTGGACCCAAGTTCGTAGCCGATGAAGACGGTGCGAATGCTCCGGTCTTCCAGTTTCCTCAAGTTTGGCCTCATTACCTTGATGTGCGCCACACATCCGAAGGTGCGGAGGAAGCTTACTGCCGGCTTCTCTTTGTGCCACGCCTCATACGGCGTCATGCCGTTCACGCTCCGTGTCGGCGAGCGATTGAGGAGGTAGACCGCGGTGTTAACCGCCTCCCCCCAAAACTCCTTCGGCATGCCCTTTGCCTTCAACAAGCACCTCGCCATGGAGACCACCGATTGATTTCGCCGCTCGACGACGCCGTTTTGTTGGGGTGAGTACGGTGCCGTCAATTGTCGGTGTACGCCGTGATTGGCGCAATACTCCCCGAATTCCACCGAAGTGAACTCGCCACCCCGATCGGTACGAAGCGCGCGTAGCTTTCTTCCGGTCTCGACCTCCACGCTTGCCTGGAACCTTTTGATTGCTGCCGGCGCCTCATCTTTGCTTGATAGCAACATAACCCACATGTAGCGGGTCTTATCATCAACAAGCAACAAGAAATAACTCTTCTTACCATGGGTTGGTGGCGAAATGGGACCACACAGGTCGCCATGGACGAGATCGAGTCGATTGCGGGCGCGGTAGTTAGCTTCTTGCGGAAACGGTGTACGCCGCTGCTTGCCGATCAAACACCCATCGCAGAGTTGATCGACGTGCTCGATTTGTGGCATGCCGCGCACCATGTCTCCCTGCACAAGCTTGCGCAGAGACTCGAAGTTGAGATGCCCATACCGTGCGTGCCAGAGCCAGGTGTCTTCGCCGGTAGAAGCCGCCAAGCACACCGGCCGTGTGACTTGTAGCTTGATGGTGTACAGCCGGTTGAGTGTCCTCGCGACCTTTACGATCAGTTGCCGTCGCCGATCCCGAACTAGCATCATCCCGTCCTCGATCTGAGTTGAGCACCCGACCTCATCGAGCTGCCCGACTGAGATGATGGAGCTGCGCAGGCGAGGGATGAAGTAGACATAGGTGAGGACTCGATGCCGTCCGCCGTGTGCCGTGAAGAGCACTGTGCCGCGCCCTCGAATCTCAACCACCGAGCCATCTCCGAATTTCACCGTCCCTTTGACGTTGCGGTTTAGCTCGGAGAAAACAGTGACATCTCCGGTCATATGGTTGGATGCGCCAGTATCTAGGTACCACACGGGCTCCTTCTGATCTCCTTCTTCACCAAGGTTAACCTCGATGCGCTCCTCAACGAGGTGTACCGTGTCGTCGCGGCGTTCTGGCTCAAGACTTGTGTCTGTGAGCGATGTCACCTGTGCCGTAAGCAGCGCAGGTTCTTCGTCCTCGAATTGAATGAGGTGGGCCATCTCATCTCGTTTCTTCATCCTGCATTCACGAGCCCAGTGTCCCTTCTTGTTGCAGTACCGGCAGCGATCGTTCTTGATGTCGCGCCTGCCATTCTGCTGGTCTCTATCGCTGTCGTCCCTCACAGTGTTATTTCCACGGTCACCTTGCCACTTGACACGCGGCTTGCTGGACGAGCCCCCCTGTTCGCGCCATGCCATGCGCGCACGCAACTCTTCCTCCGTGAGCAAGAGTTTGCTGCCGCTCTCCTCCTCTGCATCGAGCTCGAAGCGCTCCTCCGCCGCTTTGAACCTCCCGGTTAGCTCCTCCATTGACATGGTGTTCAGGTCCACCATGCTGTCAATAGACATCGCCAGCTGCGAATAACGCTTAGGTATGATGCGTAGGAATTTTTGCATAACCTGTACCTCCTTTATCTCATCACCGAGAATCGACAGGTTGTTGACGATGCCGGTTAGGCGCATTGCCAGCTCGTCGATGGATTCTCCAGGCTTGTGCTTCAATCTCT